TTATAATTAATATTTATTTTTAATATATATATAATTAATAATAATAATAATAATTAAAATAGTCCCTAATTGGGGACAATGACACACAACAAATAAAAAACATATATAAACTAAAGGGGTGTATTGATATTTTAAAAGAATTTTAAAATATTTTTTTATTATAAAAAAGTCTTGTGATATTAAATCAATACTTTTTTTAATATAAAAAAGTCATGTGTTATTTAATTAAGATAATTAAGATCTTTTTAAGAGTACATCAAAATCTAGTGGTGTTTAATTAAAACAATCAATTTTTTTTAGGAGTGTCAATTAAAAAAACAAAAGGTAGCTCCTCATTGGAAAATAATGACATCAATTTTTAAAAAAATAAAAAAATAAATCCCCACTTAGAGACAATGACACTAGAAGAATAATTAAAAAAAAAAAAAAAGATAGTTCCTATTAAGAGATAGCAATGTCAATTAAAAGAAAAAAGAAAAAATAGATTCTCACGGGTAACGACACTTGTTTTAAATTATATAAAGCAAGTGATGTTGTAGCTGAATGTGACAATGGTGATTTCACTCGTGGAGCATCACCATTATGACACCATGTGTCACTTATTAAAACATTTATTTCAAATAAAATGAAATTACGTTGTATTGGATGACATTGTCTCAACTAGTGACACACTGACACTCATGTTAACCACTCTAAAGTATAAATGTTGTAGCCGAATGTGACAATGGTGATTTCGTACGTGGAGCATCACCATTACGACACCACGTGTCACTTATTAAACCAATTTTTTCAAACAAAATGAAATTACGTTGCATCGGATGACACTGTGTTGACTAGTGACACTCATGTTAACCACTCTAAAGCGGGAATAAGTTTAAAAACAACAACATTCTTGTAATAAATTTTCATAATTATCTAGTTGGGTCAAAAAGCCCATTCATTCACATGTCACACTAGTGTGCATTGCCAATTGTTACATACTCCCTCCATTTTTTTTAATGTTTAAGGTTATGCACAATAATTAAGAAAATGATTGATATTTTAATTTTTTAAAGTATATATTACTTATTTTCCTATTATACCCTTTGAGTAGTTTTAGAAGAAATAGGTACATTGAAAAATAAATAAACACATTGTTCACTAAACACACATTAATTATCAAAGGCAAAAATGGAAAAGAAAATTAATAAGTTATTGGTTTTAAAAAAGTGACAATGCAAAAAGAACAAAAAATAATGTCAAAATGACTATGAATAAAAAACGGAGGGAGTATCATGTAACACAACTGTAAATGTTAATTTTACCGGGACAATTACTTAGTGCATGTTTTAGTTGACATGTTTTGATGTCCTCTATACTATTGTCTAATAATAGGTAGACACGTGTATTTAATTGACACGTCATTTAATACGTCCTTGAATATCATTTATTTATTAATATTGCAATTAAATTTTTACAACCTATTAATAAATTTTTTCAATTTTTTTTATCTTTATTTTCCCTTTTTTTATTCAAATAATTTTTTTCTCTTTTTGAATCCAAATAATTTTTCTCACTGTATAAATTTTTAAATAACTATTTATTTTTAAAATTTAAAAATATTAATTAAGAAGAAATTATTAAGATTATTTTAATTTCTTAAATTTTAATTGAAAAATATAAAATAAATATATAAATATATATTAATAACTATACTTGGTACATTTACATGTATAATTAAAATTTTATTTTCATTTTTTATTATATTTTTATAATATTACTTTTTACTAATTTTTATAGTTTTTATATAGGCAAAAAAAATAATTATAGAGTATGGGGGTACTCTAACCCATTACAAGGAAACACAACAACCAAAATTCTAAAAAAGTAAACCCAATAATAAGAACCTCACCAATCCAATATGACTTGTGTAGAATCAATGTACTCCTACTACATTATAATGAGTCATTTAAATCCCAAAAACATGTCAAATAGCACCCATGTGATAGTAAAATAAACCAACTCAATAAAAAGAAAACACCTCCTGTTGTAAGAAAAAATTGTCACCCCTCCCCTCAAACCTTATAAAGGAACAGAGCTCATCAATCAAAAAAACAAACTCCTAACCAAAAGTAAAGAGCACCACGAACTAACATCATCAATAAAGATCAGATTAATTAAGATAAATTTAAACAGACGGAAGGTTATTCAGTCCAAGTATAGAAGATTTTTTTATAGCTTACTTTATATTATTTTCTAAAAAATAATTTGTAGTATTGATGTACTATTAGGTTTTTATTTGAATTATATTATTATATATACTCACAGCTGAATTTCTTTTAAATATTTATTTTTTAAAAATGAGAATCAAGATAAAATTTTTAAAATTATATAAATATGTATAAATATTTCTATTTTTTAGTAGTTTTTAATTTTTTTAAATTTGTAAATTTTTTTTAATTATATTTATTATTATAATATCAATTTATTAATATATGACTTTTTTATTATGTTTATTTTATAATATTATATTAAACTAGTTTAGATTATTAATATATTACATTATAATAATAATTTTTTATTTCTTTAAATTATAGTATCAGCCTACTAATAGTTTATTTATTTTTAACTAATAATGTTTATATTTATTATTAATATTTTTTATACTTTAAATTATAGTATCAGCCTACTACTAGTTTATAATACATTATTATGTTCTTAAAAAATTTAATCAACATTTTATTATAATTTAAAGAAATTCGTGTTATTTTTAAATATTTATTATAGTATTAATTTACTGTTATTAATAGATATTAACAATTTTATATCTTAGATAATTTGAGTTTTAAGATTATTTCAATTTTACTTAGAAATTAATTTCTAAAAATTTATTTTTTACACATTGTATAATAAATTAACATATTTTGATTTAAACAATTTATTTTATATCTTATCAATTTAAAAAATATTAATAAATTTATCGTCTTAATTTAAATATTTTTTTAATATCTTACTTATCAATTTAAAATATCTAATATATTTAAGTAAGATTTTTGAATTCTATTTTCATAATACTATTTTATTATTCTAAAAACAAATTATGATAATTTTTTAATTTTTTAATTGTTTATTTTACTTTACAATATTGTTTTTTCTATTATTTTAGATGTTTTAAGAGAAAAAAACTTATTTCTTAATTACAGTAAAATATTATTATAATTAATATTTAAGATATGATAAATTATAATTTTCAACCAAATAAACATAATTAATGATTTATAAAGAATAAAAAAATTAAGATATAATCAATCTTATAATTTCAAGAAAAATAAAAATGTTACTACAATGATAATATAATAAAATAAAATCTTACGGTAGATTAATATTATAAGTTAAAAAAAATCACAAATGATAATATTTTTTGACACAAAAAATGATAATATCTTAATAACCTAAAATAGTAGGAAATAATATTAGAAAATAAATATAATAAAAATTTTATAAATAAAAATTCTTAAAAGTAAAACTATCTATACTTATATATATGTACGAGTACCTAGTCTATATATTAATATATTTATTCTTTGATTTTTAGTTAAAATGCATGAAATTAATTTTTTTTAAAAATTTGTATTTTGATTAATATTTTAAAACATAAAATAGTTTTTAAAAATAATTAATTGTGAAAATAATTATTTAATTTTTGTATGGATTCAAAAAGAGAAAAATAACATTTGAATAAATAAAAGTAAAAGATAAAAATTAAAAGAATAATTAATAGGTTGTAAAGACTTAATTATAATATTAAAAAATTAGTGATATTAAATAAAAATACAAATATTTCTGTACCATTAAACAATGGTAAAGAGGACACCAAAACATGTTTTCTATGCCATGCACCGAAGTAATAACCTGTTAATGTAGTGTTTATAATTTAATATTATTTTATGTATAAAAAATATATCGTGTTAAATTTTCATCGACCCTATTATTTTCGAGCATTAAAATTTAGAGCTCACTGCTGAGTCCAACTATCATCAGATTAGGCCAATTTTATCACCTCTGTGCATGTGTCAAAGATGAAGGGTTTCAGAGAGGATGTTAATTGCATTTTACTCCTAAAATGTAAAAAAAAATAAAAGAAGTTATTCCTAGCATATCATATAATCAATTAAATTTACATGAGAATTTGTCGCGTGGTTCATAGATTCGACTAAACTAGCCTTGTTATTATGTACATAATAACTGCAAATGAATGTGGATTTGTCATTTTTTTTAACCCTTCAGGTTGGTATATTTTTTCAACATCGTGCCTAGCTTCTAAATCCCTGCTATGATAATTGTCCTTTATCCAGTAAGAATTCTGAAGTTCAGAAAAATTTTATGCCCTAGTTCCTGTGACGACCCTTCTGAGCGAAATCTTTGCTGTGATATGTTTCAAATGTGCCTCATGATTTTCACAACGGCACTGAATGGTATGTTGCTGGGATTGGTAACAGTCATGTAATTGATGGTACTAGATTTCAAGGGAGATTGAGGACTGTTTGTTTCTGCCGTCGAGCAAGGAGAGTCACGAGAAGAGCTGACATGATTAGATTCCTCGGAATCATATTTTTTCGAAGTGTCACTGTCAAACACAAAACAACGAAGAATTAAGTCAATAAGGAAGCCAGAAGCAATTACCAAATTTAACACCTGTAATGTGAAATACCTACAGCAAATAATGACGAAAACATACCCTATTAAATTATGAATTTTGTTAAAAATCCGTGCGCGAATGGAAGCTGGCACTATACCACGGCTATTTTTTGAACTGTGACCGGGACTATGTCTACGTGAATCATCCTACAAAGCACAAACAATTGGACAAGTTATCAGCAAGTCATGTCTTCCACACGAGAATTTACTGTATGATCTGAGAAGATAGTAGTCTCAGACAATTTTTACATGACATGTAATTGAATTCTATTAATTGTCACGTAGAAATTGGCTGGAACCACAGTAGTTCAGACCATACAATAATTTCTCCTTCCTCGACCCCTCTAAACTTAAGCAAATGTTGGTTTATAATTCATAATGATTGATCTCATTGGACCATGACAATGGTCCATTACCAAGGAGTTCAGATATAATTAGAACTTACTCCTGGTCCGGGGTCTCCTCTGGGACAGCTTTGCCCTTGTGAATTTACTGTAATATCTTGATCATGCAAATTTTGTACAAAGGCATGTGTAAGAAGCACTGCTGCCGACGGGCGTTCTGCAGGATTCCTTCTGAAACACTGCTGAAGGAAATCCCGTCCCTCTGAAGACAAATTTTCAGGTATATTTGGAGATTTGTGCAGCACCTTGAACATGGCTTGAGGCTAGTAGACAGAATACAACCAGCCAGGTCATTAAATTCTCCAAGTAACCAGACACGAGCATACCAATTCCAAAAATAGGAATATCTAAGTGAATAAGTGATGCAAGGATATTCAAATGCCTTCCTCAGACATATGCGAAAGCACAATCAAATTAACATGTATTAATATTTAAAACAACGGAACCAGTACATGGTTCAACTTAAAGGGGTAATTGGCATGCAGAGTTCTTTTTTAAAATTCATGGGAATTATGTTTTTAAGGAATCACATTTTCCGAAAATCAGTATTTTTGGAATACTATAAATGTGTTATATATGCCTAAAACTTTCACACCTTCGTAAGAATATTGGATTCCCACCCGTTCTAAGGAAATATTTTAATGGGAAAAGTGGTTAAAAGAATTCCAATGAATGTTAATCTCCTGAGAATGTGTTTTAAAAACTTCACTCTAAACATGGAAAAGTTCCATGCAAAATATAGAGCATCCCATAAATAGTTCTTGCTGACAAGTTTTAATTATGTTTGTTTTACATAATTCCTCAGTCACCGGGAGGTAGAGGGATTATTGATCTTCGTATATTAAACCAACATAATCAATATGCGCAATCCTCTATAATGAGTTCACATGCATAATAAGGTGCTCACCCCTTCAAATTCGCTCCAAGGAGGTTTTCCTGTCAGCATTTCGATTATAGTGCACCCTAAGCTCCATATATCAATGGCCATGGCAATGTCGGGACTGGATTCTTTCTTTATGGCAGCCTTCATGAGCTTCAATCAACAAATTACAGTAAAAAGGGGCGCACGTCATTACTCATTACCCATCTAAAACCCCATAAACAATACAACAATACAAGTAACAAATTACCTCCGGAGCCATCCAGTAGGGACTGCCCTTCAATGAAAGTTCAAATGATTTCTCTGTCAGCTGAAAGAAGCAGATTGTTAAAATTACAAGACCAGCAGACAAGGACATTGTGATGTGACTGCTAACAGAATCAAGTTAACACTCGTAAATGAGAGATTAGCAGACGATGCACACAAATATACCGACTCTACCTAATTATAAAGTAAGTCGAAGATCAGAACTTCAAAACTCACAATTTTTGACACCCCGAAATCCGCAAGCTTAACAGTGCCTGATGCATCCACCAACAAGTTTGCACCTTTGATATCCCTAAAGAACCATATGCAGCAATAGTAATCAGGTTTTATTGGCTAAAAAACAGGCCAGGGAGGGGGTTGGGAGAGCTTATCTAAGCTTATGAAAACAGCTTAAGACATAAGCACATTTTATTTTACTTCAATTTCTTAGTGTAGTTTATTAAAATTATAGCTTATTGTCTTATTCCAAAAAGTTTCACGATCAAATTTATGGTATAAGCCCTCATGAGATAAAAGCTTATGAAATAAATGCTTAACTAAGTTATTTATCCAAACACTTGAAAAAAGTTACCATATCAAGAACAAAATTCTATATAATCCTTTTTATTTGTTTGATTTGTGATTTTAGCTAGAATCAGCTTGTTCATCAAACGTAGTGTATATGAGATATAATAAATTGTCACTTAGAAATTCATAAAAAAAAAAAAAAAGTCATCACTTAGACATAAAATGAGGTAAATTAGTTCCTTTCATCAAGCGTTGTTACCTGTGAATAGTCATGGTACTGTGTAAGTATGCCAATCCAGAGAGAATATGTCGTGTGAAATTGCGAACCACAGATTCTGTCATAGTTCCACAATGTTCATGCATAAACTTATGAAGTGATCCAGGATGAACATACTCCATATATATGTACAATCGATCACCAACCTGAAAACGAAGGTGTTTTACAAATTTAATCTTATTCACAATAGCAAAGATCCTTAAACTTTTCCTTAGATTGTATAATATACTTGGAACAAGAACCAATAATTAACTCACTATTTCACTTCCATAATACTGCACAATGTTGGGGTGGTGTAATTGACGGAGAATTCTGATTTCCTGAAACAAGGAACTATTCAGAATAACAGGCTCGACACCTGCCAATTGGCTAATGTGTACTGTGTACCCACAATTATAGAGTACATAAGAAAAGACTTCGTAGCAATGGTAGGGAAAAACAATAACAGTGCATGAAAGTGAAATAAGAACTGTAATTCAAAATTTCTCAGAAACTATATTAGTTTGGCTTCTACATTAGTTAGAAAACAAATCTTAGTATTAAGGCTCATCTTGAAAACCTCTCCTTGTTTATGCGTAAAACCTCTCTTTATGAATGTGTTCTCAACTTAATCTTACTTTGCTTTTTGTTATTAAACAAAAATAGGATTTTGTTCTAGTTATTAAAACAAGGAATAGGATACACAATATACTAACCTTTCCTAGTGTGTGGGTGGGTTTGTGTTTGTGTGAACTGTACCAAAAATGTGATTGAAAATTTTAATTTTTGGATTAATTAACAAACAAATCTTGGCAAACAAACTCATATTGTAAAACCACTGTTTGAGTGCATTTTCTACTTAATTTTACTTTGCTTTACTTTATTTAACAAATATTGGATCATCTGTTCTAGTTATCAGAACAATTAATTAGAAAACACAATGCAGTGACTGAAATGAACCGGTGGCAGGAGTGGAGGACGGAAAAACATTAAAGCTGGTGACAGTATTATTAATATTAAGATCAAAATAATATTCTCGTGTTCCAAGTAAAATTTCAAACTATTTGTGAACAATTATGATGGCTCATGAGTTTCATTCGCATTGGCAGTTAAACTACAGTGACTAAATGGCTAAAAACTATAGGCATAATATTGTTTCTCTAGCAGAGGTAGTGTTGTTTTTGAACATGATAAAATTAAAACACATAGGGGAAGAACCTGCTCTAGTTGCTTTATGCAGTCAGCAGACTTAGGATCATCAGGGAACAGATCAACCTCTTTCATCGCACACGACGAGATCGGAA